CCCACCTGGGTGCTAAGCACCAGAGGATATGGAGGCTGTGGCTGAGCCTCACTTCTCTTCTCCTGAAAACCTTTGGCTGGTTTTCAGAGATAGGAAGTATGGCGCCCTTCCATCTAGGGCACATCAACCATATTGTTTTATGGAGGGCCTAGGTTGTTTTGCCCTGTGTACCCTCTCATCCATGGCACATAGTACCCTGAAGTCCCCTGAGGTTGCCTCTGTGCAGCTGCTCCAGTCCTCTGCCCAGCTTGGGCAGTCTGTCCCATCCACCACCTGCCTGTTTGCCTCTAGGGCTTGGGGCTGTGGAGACCCTCTATGCCCACTTAATTCTGTTGGTCAAGGGCTGCTCCATACAGATCTGAGCCTCAGAGATTCCCCCTCCATCCTGCTAACCTCTCCGTTGGAGAAGAATAGACCTAGGGAACGTGTGCTATTCCTCCTTTGCTGCTTGCTCCCCTTGGGACCACTCCCACACTGTTTTGCTTTTTCTTCTTTTTTTTTTTTTCCTTTTCTCCTTCAAGATTCTTGGCATCTTTGTCTTTTGAAGAGGGCAATGTTCTGTCAGAGTTCAGCAGGTACTATGGTTGGCTGGGTGGGTCCGTGGATGTGAGATTTGGTGTATTTGTGGGAGAGGGTGAGCTATGAGGGTCTTTCTACTCTGCCATCTTGGCTGATCTCTCTCCTTTTTGTTATAGTCAGTAGTTTGTTTTAGTTTTTACATTCCACATATATGTGTTATTATACAATTTTTGTCATTCTCTGTCCGAAGAAGTAAAACTGTCTCTATTCATAGATGACTTTATCTTGTATCTAGAAAATCCCAGGGAATACACCCCCACACAAAATTAGAACTAGTAAAGGAGTTCAACGAGGTTGCAGAAAGATCAATATACAAAAATACATTATGTTTCTATACACTATTAATGAACAACCTGAAAATTAAATTAAGAAAGCAATCCCATTTACAATAGTATCAAAAAATTAAAGTACCAAGGCATAAATTTATCAAATTAAGTACAAGACTTGTACAATAAATAGTACAAGACATCATTGTAAGGAAGGAAGTAGGACCTAAATAAATAGAAAGAGATTCCACATTTATGAAGTTGAAGACTTAATACTTTTAAGATGGTAACATAAAATAGATCTATAGATTCAATACAACTCTCTAGCAAAATATCTGCTGGCCATTCTACACAAATTGTTACAGTGACCCTAAAATCTACATAGAAAGAAATGTGAAAATAAATCTTGAAAAAGATTCATAATTTTTAATTTTAACCCTTACCATAAACCTATAGTAATCAACACTGTGGTGCTGACATAAAGATAGACTTGTAGATAAGTAAAATAGAACTGAGAGCCTGGAAATAAGCTTATACATATATGGCTAATTGACAATTTATGAAAATGCTGAAACAATTCAGTGGGAAAAATTGGTCTTTTAAACAGATGATGCTAGGACTACTGGATCCCCATGGAAAACAATGAAGTTGGAACCCTACATCACACCATGTTAAAAAGATTAAAACTGAAAATTATAAAACTCTTAGAAGAACTTGTAGATGTAGATCTTCATGACCTTGGATCAGGCAACACTTTCTAAGATACGACACAAGAAAAAAGTAACCAAAGGAAAAAATAGGCCAGTTAGACTTCTCATAATTAAAAATGTTTATGCTTTAAAGGACACTACCAAGAAAGTGCCAGGACAACCCAAAGAATGATATAACTTACTTGCACGTCTGGTATTCAGAGTATGTATTGAATTCTTGTAACTTAGAAATATAGAAATAAAATCCAATATAGAAATTTGCAAAAGAGTTCAATAAACATTTCTCCAAAACATAGACAGTTGACCCTTGAACACCATTGGTTTGAACTGCAAGGGGCCACTTACATGTGGATATTTTTCAATAGTTAACATTACAGTACTACTCAATTAATGATAGGTTGAATCTGCAGATGTAGAACCATGGATATGGAGGACCTGTGTATACGGAAGCTGAAATATAAGTTATATGTAGATTTTTGACTACACAGAGGTTCAGTGTCTTTAACCCCCATGTTGTTCAAGGGTCAACTGTATATACAAAGCATCAATAAATATAGGAATCATCATTAGTCATTAAGCAAATATACATCAAGCCATAGTAAATGCAACTTCACACCCATTGTGTTGACTGTTGTCCAAAAATGAAATGTTGGTGAGTATGTGGAGAAATTTGAACTCTCATTCATTGCTGTAGGTAATGTAAAGTGATACACCCATTTTGGAAAAGTTTGGTGATTCCTCAAAAAGTTAAATTCAGAATTGCCCATATGACCCAATAATTCCACTCCTATATATATGCTCAAAATAATTGAAAACACAACCATATAAAGTCTTGTACATGAATATTCATAGCAATATTATATACAACAGTCCCTAAATGGAAATAATCTGCATGCCTATCTCTTGATGAATTCATAAAGAAAATGTGATGTATCCATACCACCAAATATTATCTGGCCATAAAAAGAAATGAAGTACTGATACATGTTACAACATGGATGAACCTTAAAAACATTATTCCAAGTATAAGAAGATAGTCACTAAAGGCCATATTATGTGATTCCAGTTTTATGAAATGTCTAGAATAGACAAAGTCATAGAGACAGAAAATAACTTGTGGTTATTGAGGGGATGATGGGGGAATGAGGAATGACTGTTTAATAGATATGGGGTTTCTTTTTAAATTAAAAAAATTTAAAAAATTTAGATTTTTGTTTTGAGGTGATGGAAATATTCTAGAATTAGATACCAGTCCTGGGTTCACTACTTCGTGAATATACTAAAAACCACTGGATTTTCCACTTTAAAAGGGTGAATTTTAACAGTACATGAATTCCCATAGTTTTTGCTTTAAAAATGGAAGTGTTGCCAGTGGATGTATCCAGTGTTCCAGGTTCTTGTCCCATCCCAGAAAGAATTCAGAGACAAGATGTATTGGTTAAGGAAGTAAAATGAGAATTTATTAAAGGATGGACTGTACACTCTCAAGGGGAGAGTGTGCAAGCTCATGTGAGCAGCTGCCCAGAGTTTCTTTGGCAAGTTGGTTACATAGGGTGTAAAAAAGAATTGGCAGAATATTCATTAGGGAGGGAAGGGTCTGGGGTTGTATTCCCTGACTTTTGTCCCAACTCCACCTTCCCAAAGGGAGGAGGAATTTTTGTACTTATTTAGTCTGGATAGGAAGTGTCATGTTGTCAGTACATGATGGATACTTCTAATTTGCAAAGCCAATTTTATTGTAATGAGGGCATAATTAGCAAAAGGTTACATTAGGACAGTGGAAATTCCTGCCTTTTCTCACCTTTTCTTTGTTGGCCTCTGGGCCACTTATCAGCCCCAAAGGTGTGACCACTTATCAGCCCAGAGATTCCTGCTTTTGTTTCTCTGCCCAGGGACTCCTGGTGTTTACATGATGTATGGTTTTCTGCATTTGGCCTGTGACCCTCCTATCTGCCTAATTTCTGCCATTTGATCTGCATCCCTTTTTCTCTGCTCATATCTAGCTATCTGCCTGCTCTAACAGAAGTAGAGAAAAAAGTAACTGACAGAACATCATGTATTCCTAGAGACGTCACTGACTTCTGACTCCCATGTTTTCTTCAAACCGTTGCTACTTTACATAGATTTAGCACCTGGAGGAACAGTTTTCCCTACCTATCTTTTGTGTAAAAATCTCTGTCTCCTGTGTTCTGGTATCTGAGTTGGGGCTAAGGCTATACATAAGAATCTCTGATTATTTATAAGCCTCCTGAGTGTAATTCCTTTCATGACCACCTGGGCTCTATTTGACTATGTGGAATAAATCAAACCTTTATATTATGTCACCTTGGATAATTTAGTTTACTTTTTTTGAACCTTAATTTCCTTTAAAATATCTCCTTCTTAGGATTGTGAAGACTAAATGAGACAGGGATTTTAAGAACCTAGCATGCTGCCCTGGCCTGATGGAGGCCTCGGTTAATGGTAGCTTCCTCTATTACTTATTTCCCTCCTGTAAAAAGTGCATTTGTTACAGATTAGAGGTTGCTCAACTCTGTCCTGGCTTCCTACCCAGCAGCAGATTGTCTCTAGAAATAAACTATGGGTGATTTTTTTTAATCTGTGTCCCCTACTGTGCCTCTTCTAATACTTGGCATGCTGTAGGTGCTCAGTGAGTTTGGATTTCCTATGTGACAACACAAGCCTTTTTACCTGGATTCTCCAATATGGTGCTGAGAGGATTGCAGAATGTCAGCTTTAGCCAGTGACAAACTAGCTGTGTTAAAGGTGCTTCTTTGGAGGCTTTGTGATTTCTACTTTAGCTGAGAGGCATAAAGCTTCATCAAATTTCAGACTTGAGGAGAGTAATAGCTGAGTTCTCAATCTCTCATAAATCTTTTCGACTCTTGAGTTTCAGCTAAACCTTCCAGGATTTTTTTCCTCATCTTTAACATCATTTTTTAATATGCAGTACAGAAATTCTTAAACAATATCAAATAACTCATCATTCACAGAAGCAGTCTTAGGTTCCAGTTGCCTTGGAAATGTTTTACTCATTATTAAGCTGTCTAAATGCTTTGTAGATTAACCTTTTAAATGCATAGTGCTGTTCACTATTGTGTTCCTTCTTCCCTTAAAAAAAAAAAAAGAGTAGTTAATGCTTGTGAAAAAGTAACCAGAATATAGATGCACTGTAAGTGCTATTCTCTGAGCAGCAGCTCCCAGAGCCTTTAGCTGTACCAATAGGAACTGCTCTTTGTGTAGGTGGAATTTTTCGAGGTTATATTTGAGGAAGTCGAATCTGCTGAGACCAATGCAAAACCAAATTCTCTCTTCCTTTTTTCCCCCTCAGGAACTAAAGCGATTGGCTACATGAAACCTGACACTGTGTGGTTCATTCTCATTTCTGAGCAGACTGAATTAAAATTGTAGACATCTAAAACTGTGCCTTCTCTCCCACATCTAGGAGCGGAAAAAGAAATTTGAAAAAGATGGTGAGAGATTTTATTCCTTGCTGGATCGGCACTTACATCTGTCTTCTAAAAAGAAAGAATCTCAATTGCAAGAGGTATGTTCAGAAAGCCTGTCCCTACCTTCCATTGCAAGTTATGCCTTGGTAACAGTGGCAAATTTCTATTATAAAGCGTGCCTCCTACCCTGCCTCAGCAGGGAACCATGTATAATAGTAGTGGCTGCAAATAAAACCATGGCCAGGGACTCAGGACCCTTGAGTTCACAAGCCAGGTCCTCCACAAACTCACAGTGTGACTTTGAATATGATATTTCTTTCTTGGCCTCAATTTCCTTATCTGTTAAAGGAAGAATGATACTTGATAAAAGAAATTTTCACATATTGAGGTATGGAGAAGTCATTCTGGCTTATACATGAGTTAACTTGAGTTTTATGCTAATTAAAATAGCCTGTTTATGGCCTATCAAACATACATTGTAAATCTACTTTAATTATTAAAGAAGAGGGCGCATTGACCAGAAGTAAAGAATGTCCATGTTAAAAATAAAGATTAAATGCCCCTCTTCCTGGAATGCCAGTGCTGGTCCTCCTTTGATGATGACTCCTTCCCAGATGCCAATGCCATATTGTACACACTATACATGTACATGCCAGTCTGTGTTTTTCTGTTTTTTGTTTTTTGAAACCTTGAAGAAAGGTATCCCTGACTTATTTAACATTCTTTGCTCTGACAAGTTATAAAACTCTGATGAAAACCTTGCTTCTCCAGAGAAATTTCTAAGTGTAATCTGGGAAGTAGGCTTCCAGGCTAGTCCTCAGTATTGCTTACATAAAACTCTTTTCTACTCTTATTATTGATTATTATTTTCATTGACATACTCAAAGATCTCTAGAGTCCCTTTTGAGCCCTAAGTTCCTGATTCCAGTTTCCATATGAGATAGAATTAAACCAGTGTTGCATTTGATAGATCAGAGATAGATCTACTTTTTCCCCTGAGGTTTTCCAACATTAGCCTTTATTTATTTATTTATTTATTTATTTATTTATTTATTTATGTATGTATGTATGTATGTATGTATGTATGTATTTATTTTGGTGCTGCACTGGAAGTACAGCTTACATGGCACTTTCAGCAACTTCATTTCAAATAAGCCACTATTCAGTGAGTGCCTACCACATTCCAAGCACTATGCTGCATGCAACAGGACTATAAAGACAGTAAGACATGATTCCTACTCTTCTGCAGCTTATAGTTGGGATACCAAAACAAGAATACACATGACTCTTATACAAGTAGAATTTTTTGCATGATGTGATGCGTATGTGGTGTCCTTGTAGGGATAAGAAAGTATTTAGAGAATAAAAAACTTACATCTACATCTGGAGAATTGCCTTTGTGGAAGAATATTGCCCTTCCATAGTTGAGATGGTCATACAATAATAAGTAAAATATTTAACTGATAGAAATGGAGAAATGGAACTTCCAAGTGGAAGGCAGTATCCCCAAGGATGGAAAACAATGTTTGGCAAGTGGTTTGAATAAAGTTTTCATTACTATTGGAGAATAGTGAAAGACAAGAAAGGAGCAGGGAAATTGTGGCTATATTGTGGAGTAATAGACTCGGGAACTGTGTTGAAATCTGTTGGCCCTGGAAGCATTATTGAAGGCCTTTTGTTGTGCAAGCAATATGAATAGAATTCTATTTTAGGAATCTTAAACTGGCAGAAGTTGTAGGATAAATTAGATCTGTGAGAGACTGGAAGCAGGAAAAACAGTTTGGGAAACTATTGCAATGATCTAAGGGAGAAGCTCTGAGACAGAAAAGTGGCACTGGGAAGGAAAAAAATAATTAACTGATTAAGATTTTTTAAATGGAAGAATGGCTCTATGTGTTGGATAAAATATCTAGTAAAAGATGGAGATATTGAAGATTCAGTTATGAAGAGATGCACAAGTTGAATAAAGTCATAGAAACGATCTATAAGGGCTATTAGAAATCTTATTTTCCAAGATCACAAAGACTGTGGCAAGCTTGAAGCTCATCTTCTGACACCTGATATAGTGAGTATCCATCACATAATGTGAAGTACAGGAAGGTGATAAGTTAAGTGCCTCAATGGTAGATGGAGTTAGTTTTGAAAGGGTGAAAAACTACGTCTCTTCCACAAACTGGAATGAAGTATTAGTCTGGCGTCTTTTGCCATTTTCCTTTTGCAGAATTTTGCTTTCTTCCTTTTTCTTCTATCCTACACCAGCAGGCTTCCTATGCATAAAAGAGTTAACATGGACCCAAGACTCTTATGCTTAGAAAAGTCAGCTTACAAGATTAGCTCTTGGCTGGTATCTTGGAATTTTGCTGGTAAACAAGTCCCTACACTAATATATAAGTTTCCCTAGAGGAGGCCAAGATGGTGGAGTAGAAGGACGCTTGTAGTTCATCCTCTCCCACAGATACACCAAGACTCACATCCACCGACCCACTCAGCCAACCAGAGCACCTGCAGAACTCTGACAGAACATCGTCCTCTTCAAAAGACAGAAATGCCAAAAATCTGGTAGGAGAAAAGGAAAAAAGAAAGAAGAAAAGGCAAAACAGTGCAGGATGGGTCTCGTGGGGAGGAAGCAGCAAAGAAGGACTGGCACTTATATGCTGGGTCTCCCCTCTCCATCCTAGAAGCCAGTGGGACAGAGGGGAAAACTCCGAGGCTCAGATCTCTACAGAGCAGTCCTTGACTGACAGGACTAAGTTAAACGGGCACAGAGGGTCACCACGACACCCAGACTGACACTCAGGCCAGTAGCTGAGGGCTGGACCAGGCTGCCCGAGCTGAGCGGAGGATGGGAACAGCTGCACTGAGGCAGCCCTGGGGGGCTGCATGGAGCTGCGTGCCATTGGTGTGGGTGCACAGGGCAGAACAACCTGGGCCCTCCATAAAACAACATGGCTGATGTGCTCTGGAGGGAAGGGTGCATACCCCCATCTCTGAAAACCCACAGAAAGTTTTTGGGTGAAGAGAAGCAGGGCTCAGGCACAACTGACATAGCCTCCTGCGCTAAGCACCCAGGCAGGGGCAGGGGTCGGGGGTGAAACCTGCATCCCCACCTAAAGACTTAGCAGCCTCATAGGCCAGATGGAGACTTGTCTACAGCCCGAGGAAGATAGGATCCTTCCGTCCTGATCTGTCAGAGAACTTGCTCCCCTAAGACAAACGAGGAGCTGGGTTTGGGCCCAGAGCAGGGATGGGGCTGTTTCTCGGTCTTCCCCAAGCCCACCTACGGAGCACGCAGTGGCACAGAGCTGCGGAGCGACCAGTGCCAGGAGAGGGCAGGCGGCCCCCAGCCATTCCGCCAGGAACACAGCCCCTGCCTGCAGTGCTGGGAGGGGACGTGACCTGCCCTCTTACCTGTCCAGTCTGCAACATCTTACTGCAACATTGGGAGGGGCAGCAACCCGCCCACCCACAGCAAAGGAGAGCTGCACCTGACCCAGTGTTGGGAGGGGACATGCTCTGCTTGCCCACAGGCACTGGGAGCAGCACATGTGAACGCACCAATGGAGGGCCTCTGGAAAAAACAAGCTGAGCTTCCAATACATGGTGAAGACAGAAAGACTTCACATTAAGAGCACACAGTCTCCAGGAGAACACCCCCCCTTTCTTTAAAAAATCTGTTCTTACCTGTTCTATTTTCTATTACTCTTTTAATTTTCACATCTTAAACAATTATATATACTCCCAGTTTTAATCCTTTTTAAATTTTTAAACAATATTTTTATTATTATTTTTTTAAAAAATCCATGTCATTTCATTTTTATTTGTCTTGGTTTTCATGTCCTGTTATTGATTATACGCAGGTTTCAAATACATTTTTTCCCTCTTTTCTCCTTTTTTAAAGGTTTTTGAAAGACGTCTCAACCCGATTGCTATTCTGCTTCAACTTGCTCTTCTATTATTCATTATACACTGTTTTCAAACCGTTTTTCTCCCTTCTTTTAAATTATCTTTCTGTCTCTTTTTTTAAGTGTTATTCCTACATAGGCATTAGGTAGATAAATAAATAAACTCCTAAAGGACCACAATAGATAACTGGTAATCCATAAACCACAGTGCCAGAGAGACATGAGCAAGATGAAGAAGCAGAGAAACCATCCTCAATTAAAAGAACAAGAGAAAACCCCTGAAAGAACAATCAATGAAATAGACATTGATAGCGTACCAGATCAAGATTTCAAAAAAAGAGTGATCAAAGTACTGAAGGAACTAAAAGCGATAGTGTTTAGAGATACAAAATATGTGAAAAATGAAATTGAAGCTATAAAGAAGTGCCAAGTAGAATTGGTAAACTCATTGGCTGAGATGAGAAATGATCTAAAGGCTGTGCAAAGCAGAATAGACAATTTAGAGGAAAGAATTAGAGACCAAGAAGACAGGACAACAGAAAGCACCCAATCAGAACAGCTACAAGATAAACAAATAAAAGCAAATGAAAATAGCATAAGGGCCCTATGGGATAATATAAAGCATGCCAATCTTCGCATAATAGGGGTCCCAGAAGGGGAAGAAAGAACAAAGGGGATTGAAAAGGTGTTGGAAGAAATCATGACTGAAAACTTCCCAAACTTAAAGAAGGAATCATATATCCAACTGCAGGAAGATCAGAGGGTCCCAAACAGGAAGAACCCAAACAGACCCACACCAAGACATAACATAATCAAGATGGACAGAGTCAGGGATAAAGAATTGATCCTAAAGGCAGCAAGAGAATAACAAAGAGTGAGTTACAAGGGAACTCCCATAAGGCTCTGAGCTGATTTCTCTACACAAACACTACAGGCCAGAAGGGAGTGGCAAGATATATTCAAAGTCCTGAAAGACAAAAAGATGCAGCCTAGGATACTTTATCCAGCAAGGCTATCCTTTAGGATAGAAGGAGACATAAAGAATTTCACAGACAAGAAAAAGCTACAAGAGTTTAGCAACACTAAACCCATGCTAAAAGAAATATTGAAAGGTCTAATCTAAATAGAAAAGCGGCAGGATGCTACAGAAATGAGAAACTCACAACTGGAAAGGTGATAACTCATGAATTACAAAT